CCGTTGCTCTTTAACTCTGTGTGTTGTGTCCGGCACAAAATCTTCCTGCAATTGCTGCTGCTGCTGCTGCTACTGCTTCTGCTGATGCACATTAGCATATCCTCTTATCACATCAGCTCCCATCACTGGCTGTCAACTAGGACAATGTGTTTGCGCATAAGCGGCGTTTGTGTGTTCGTTTGCTTAAGGCTGCCCCCTTTCCTTACACCACATAACAGTTTGGCTGTCAGGCTTCAATGCCGAAAACAAATTTTGCACTGTTTTGTTTCGTTTTATATGGAAATTTGCCAAAAATCGCCAATGTATGTATAGAAGTGGCGCAAAAGTAATATGTACTAGCACAAGTAGGAACATCTTTCTGGCGTACACGTAAAGATATGTACATATCTCAGATGTATGTATGTTGTATTGAAGAGACAAAATTAAAAATATATTCCATATGAGCAGTACCCCATTTTTTCCACGAATCAAAAACAGATAAGGAAAGTTTCGACCATTAAACAAACTCCAACATTGGTCTGGTGAAAGAGACTGCTAATAGAGGAGTAAAGCGGTAAAAGCCGGTTGTTCATGGCGAATTAGTGAATTTCCGGACTTAAAATGGTGGATATCGACCTCTACTATGTGGCCGTAGAAGGCACGGTGAGAGCTGCACTAACGCAAGGAATAATTTTCAATCTTGTTCATTATTTAATTACAGCAAAGAAAACCTAGTGCTGCGGATATCATGAAAAAAGAGGCGACATTAATCCTAGCTTCCCGCAGCATGGCCTGTCCGCTTAACTTAACGTCGGAGATGGTTTGAAAGCTCAGACAAGCATGAAGCGGCAAGCGAATATTTGAACATAAAAAAATTAAGTTCTTATTTTGAATTACATATGTTTTTATGGATCTCGTTTTCCAAATATGTTCATGCATATGTCCTGTGGTAAACCTAAAATCGGATATATTGACAATTATTGGAGATAAAACAAAAATTTGTGTTGATTCCATGCGTATTTTTTCTAACAACTATGTTCTTAAACTATAAACCAAACCTTTCTTCAATTTTACAATCGTGAGCTTTTTACTTAAGGGTCCCACAGACATGTGGCAGGTGGTTGTGTGACAATAATTTGTGGTAGGTAGTAAAGGGTTAAAAAATTGTATAAAAAGAAAAGATTGAGTTAAACTTTCCTCTATTAGGGCACGAACCCATGACAAACGTCTAGCTATGAATGCATTCTTGCATATTTGCATACATATCTACTACATCATTTAATAATAGGCTTTAACTACTTACGCAGCAATTCAAAGACAAAGTTCAAAACTTTCTCAAAATCATTCGCCCCAACCACATGATTTCTCCACATGGACAAATATATTAGTGTACATAGTAGTGTACATTCACAATTACACATAATACAACAAAATGCAAACCAAAAACATAACCAAGAATCAAAGATTTCAAAAGCATCCCAACAACAACAATGCTTTCAGCCGCATTCTAAGCCAGCTCATAGACTGAATTCCGTACATGCAGGAAGCTACCTACGTATTGTTAGTTATTTCGGTTTTGTGAATATACCCTCTAGGAAAATTAATGGAATGCTTCCAATTGGTTCTCGCGAAAACTTTGAAGAAAAAATTCAAATTTACCCGGTTTCCTTCTCGCTTTTAACAGAAGCCATGAGAAAAGCTTTCGCTTGGAAATAAAGTTATCAGTTCTCATAAAAACTTCGATATCAATAGCAATTCACCGTTTCACCGAACCAAGTTTGAATTAAAACCAAACAAAAAATGTAATAATTCCAGTTTTGATTCGGAACCAGGCAACGCGCCTTGTACATGAATTTAACACAATTTAACTAAGATTCCATTTCTTAAAGGGTATATATGAATGTATGAAAGTACATAAGTATGTGTACTTTGGTGAGTGTTTTGGCTTTTGCATGAATGCTTGCAAATTGAATTTGTTTCTGGTATTGCACTTAAACTACGAGGACGATTATTATTCAGAAAGTTCAAAAACATCTTCGACAACGACTGGAGACATAAATATAAGAAAAACAAAACTTTCATTCAAAAATCTTTAAATACATATTTATAGGAAACGCTGATAGTACTTGCGATTTTTTTTTTTTTTTGTTTGCACTAGTTTGGTATCAACGAATTTCTTTCAGTGATAAAGGGTTCTAATACCAGTTCTTTTACCAAAAATCTCAGTTAGTCTAGACTGAATTTACTAAACTTAAATTAACATTTTGCCCATCCTGTTATATGAAAACTTGTGTTTGCGGTTAGTGAAAACTTAGCTTATAGCTTACCGTAAGAAACTTAAGAACCTGTAGATTTTAGAGTCTTAAGTTACGGTTTTAAGAAAATTGAGACCGGTGAGAGAATGGGGCTGGCAAACTATGGAAATGACTGTCGATGGTTTCCGTCTGACGGTAGTTCTATCGATTTTCAAGCAACTATCGACAATCGACAGAAACGACCATTTCGTTTTTTCTCTCCCTTGTCTAGCAACTAATTGATTTTATACATATTAAAGCGTCTTTTCTATCAATCCAGAACAGTTACTCGATTATGAACTTTATTAGATGCGTCCCACATCTTCTTGAAAATTAACATTAGTTATACGGGGATTAACAACAAAAATAACACTTTCAACTCCTTTAAAGATGAGCATCCAAATACGGTTGTTTGGCAGACAAAGCAACGATGTATCAAATCAACTGTTTGGCTTCTTAGCTCAAAGAGTTTGCAAAAAAAAACTCGATTGGCCAATGGGGATGCAATTATTAGCAATGCATAAAATCTTGAACAGCTTAACATTAATCCGGATATTAAGACATTGCAATACTGGAAGATAAGTTGTTTAATTATTAAAATTATTTTTAATTGAAGTTATTTATGTCTTTTTACGTATCAACTCAAATAAATTCACTACCCGGTATAGCAAAAAAATATATCTGTGCATCCCAGCCTAGCTGGCTTAATAATAAATGACCGCAGGACGTCACTTAAACCAAGCAAAACCAGTGAATAAATTAATACAGGGAGTCAGTCTCGAGTTATGTAGACTCCAGATCTGTGAATGCCTTTCTGGGCACACAACCACCGATAACATCGACGAAACGGAGCTTCATCTGCCTCGGGAGACTAGAACCACAATAACCCAACTTCGCTCTGGCTACTGCAGCAGGTTAAACTCATACCTGAGCAGACTAAACGCGGATGTGCCAAATGAGTGTCCGGCATGCGGAGAGACACCCCACGACTCAAAAGAGCTCTTCGTATGCTCGGAAAACCCGACGCAGCTAACGCCTTTGTCCCTATGGACCGACCCCATTGAGGCTGCACGCTTCTTAGGGCTTCCGTTAGTTGAGCTTGACGACTACAACTGAGATATTAGCCGATCTGAGAGGGGTTATTCTAGCCGCTACAATAACAACAACAATAAATTAATATTTCTACAAAAAAAAAATTTATAAAATTTAATTTCATTCTATTTTAAAATAAACAAAATGTGCTCGCTTCCAGCTAAAGTTGAGGTGTTGTGTAATCGTTCACTATTTCTTATTAAGTTAAGTAAAAACTACCCTAACTGAGCTTGAAGAGCAATGCACGGACAGCTGTACCGAGGTAGCTAATATATAGTCTGTTCCAATAGCAGTCCGGTTTACAGGATTTAGTCAGAACTTACAGGAAGTCGTTCCTATTGACATAAAACCTGTAAGTGGGAACACATTTGAGAGAGTAACTGAGCAACTGTTCCTAGTCAGAAGTTACAGGATTTAGTCCGGAGTTTTTTTCCTGTAAGTTCATGAAAAGTGTCAAACGATCAGCTGATTTACATGTGCAAACAAAAACAGAAAGCGGTGAAAGCAAAGAACCTTATATTTGTTAAAAAATGGAAGTAAACAACGAAATATTTGAATATGTATAGATTTTAATAATTATTTAGTGATATTTCAGCCAAATCAGTGTAGTACCAATGACATGTAAACAAACCGTCTGACGTTTTTACAGGAAATAGTGCTTTTTGCGTTCCTATGCACTTCTGCATCTGTTCTCCTTTTACTCTCATTTGAGAGCGTAAAGTTGTAGTTTGACAGTTCCACAGGTTTTTGTCCGAAGTTCAAAGGAACAGACTAATAACAAAAACACAATATAAGTATGTATGTAAATACATAAGAAAGCAGTTACAAATTTTGACCAAAGAAATAATGGAATTCACTTACACTCTTCAATCAACCATTCTTTATTTGATGAACACACACACACATTTATTTATTTTTGCTTGCCTAAAACTAAGGCGATTATATGAAATATTTAATTCATGAATTCTAGACAAAAATGAAGGAAATCAATATTTAATATACATATATTTCCACTTCAACTGAGAGCTTTTGATTTCAACTCTTCTTTTCCATTTCGAATTTCATTTAAAATAACAAATGTTTTTTTATTAACACTGTTGGTGTTAGGCATTTGATACACTTGATTTAATAACAATAACTACAAATACAGTAGATACTAACACAAATGTATATAAAAGCAGTCATGTGAAAAATAATAGGGACACGACATTTTAACCAGTTTTGGGTATTTTCTTTTGCTTGATTTAATGTTTATTATTTATTTGTAAGAATACAGCTCATTATCTGACCACAAACCATCTAAGTCTTACTTTCAAAATTTTTAGAAAAATTTAAAAAAATCGCGTTTTTTTTTGGAATTTTTTCTTTTGTCGATGATGCTGTTATTTACTTTCTTACAAAAAAAAAATGTCGAACATACTTTTTATGGAAGAAAATGCGTGACACTGTCGGCAAAAACAATTCTCAAAATTCAACGCGACTATACGACTATAAAAGTGCGTATTTCGAATTTTTCTTAATAAAAATATTTATGTTGGAACAAAATTTTTTTGAAAAAAGCAGGAGGTTAACAATTCGTCGGAATATTTTTTTTTTATTGTTACCGCATAACTTTAGACCACGTTAACTGATTTCTATAATTCTTTTTTTATTAGGAAAGGTGGTACCACAGAGGTAATCCCATAACAATTTGGTTTAGATCTGATCATTGTATCATTAAGAAATTAACGGTACTCTTACACTTTTATATGAAAATTGAAGTCAGTCTTGTTTTTGATTAAAGATTACTTCTACTACTTCTTCTACAAAATTTTAAATTTAGACTTTTACAGTTTTTGTTAGAAGATAAGCTGTGTTTTTAAAAAGAAATATCAAACATTAAACAAACGAAAGAACAATAGTTAGTCAAGACGGTCAAAATGTCGTGTACCTATTATTTTACACATGACTGTAAAAATAATATCTATAATACCCACGTAAAAGGACTTAAATATAGACGTATGTAAGTTAAAATTTATATATGTACATATCACTTACGCGTACAGATACCTTAAAGAGCTATAGAAATTCGTGAAAATTCGGTTTTGCTTCAAAGGTCTCCACGCTCAACCAATTTCATCAGCCGCAAAATTCGATCGTACAACAGCTTACGTGCATCCACGCCCCAAACAAAATCCAAATGACTGAACTTCGGAAAGCTCACTAGAAATTTACCGATCACATTCGGTAGCTGCACGTGGAGTTCCTCGATATCGATTGGCGTCGCCAGCCAATCGTTTTGTGAGTAGTGCAGCGCCACTTTGCTGCGCACTTTCTTCAAATTATAATTGGGCGGTGTGATCTGATTGTAGATCCAGTAGTTGCGTATCCAACCGTAATCGAATTGGCGGAATTCTCCCGAGCGTTTTAGTTGGCCGTAATGCTGCATTTGCTTGGTGGAGGCACCCGCGGGTGAGTGGCCGAGGACAACAGGCAGCATTGTCTGGGGAATAGATTTTGAAAGTGGACTAATTAGTTTCATTTGAAATACAGGGGTATATTCTTGTTTTCGTACGATCACGAAATCACGAAATTTTCTTATCATTTTCTATACAAAAATTTCAAATTTTCGATTCGTACAAAAACAAGAGCAGCGTAGAGACAGATGAAACCCGAAACAAAACACAAAGGCAGATATTAAAACTAGACCAATCCAAAAAAGAACAGATAAAGAACACACTAAAGATTTAGGATATGCTGCTGTTGAAGCAAGTTGGCAACCTCAGGAAAACATGAATCCTCCTTTCTCGACGTGAACTGACCAAAGGGCAAAGAGAAAATGTGGAAGTTATGTGGGAAAAGTCAGCTGCGAGTTAGAAGATGCAACTAGAATCCATGCTACAGCAATTAGCCTAGAGGGCAGGAAAGTCAATATTCTAACGGGGCGGCTTACTTGGCCCTAGATCGGATAGTCCTTCAATCGTTGTCGCCAAGCTTAGCTAACGGTAGGACGAGGAAAGCTGATGTTTCGACGTGGTTGGACCAGAGGGAGAAGGTTGTTAGTTAAGTTGGATTGAGTGGCATGTGAAGAGATAGTTGATGTCTAGGGAGGAATCTCGACATGCTAGGCGCTCATTGGGGATGATGTTGTGGGTCGATTCTGGATAGGTAGCTGTTTAGACCGTAACTGTGCCAGAGTGAAGCGGGTCGCCCGCTGTAGTTGAATCGCACTCTTGTCCACATGTGTGCTTGGACATTGATGACGGCATTCACAGGACTGGAGTCTGTATAGGAAGGCACGATCTCCTTGTTTGCTGCAGGCGTTGGTGGTCTACGAAGAAATCATTTATCAGGTCATCTAATTTGGGACATGGAGTATACTACTGCACCTGGTCTTAAAGATCTGTGAGATGAATTCTGAGTGCCTGAGTGAGATGGGTCGATTTCAAGCAATGACCTGCAGGTTTTTTACGCAAGATACAAGTCCAGTTGTATGTTGATTTATCGCAACATTAACAAAGATAAATTAACTGAAATGCAATCCACTAAAATCCTGATTCTAAACAAAACCTTCTTCACTTGGTATTTTCAACAGGGTATTAGGACAATTTTCCAGCTACTACGCACCTCGTTTGCCTCCGATTTATCGAAACCGACGATCAAAAATAATATATTTGAACAAATTTCCATTATAATGACATCCTCATCGCAGATTAATTGACTGAACATTACCCTGAATTCGGTGCTGGGTAAGAATTCATGAGCGCCAATGAGTTTCAAAAGTATCTATACAGAAATAAAAAATAAATAATTCATGAAAAAATTGGAAATCGTAAAATTCGTAGATTTACATACCCCGATTGGCTCTTGAAAGTAAGCCAAAAAATCCACCACCGGACTTTTGCTGTGCTTTATATAGGCTATAGGCGCCAATGCCTGCATTGATATAATCTTATCACTATACTCTGGACGCTCGCTGCACATTATCCAAAAGGTCATAGTGCCCTGTGAGTGTCCAATGTATTGTAGTCTCTCTTGGCCCGTCTGTGCCAGTATGTAATCAATGCTGGCCGGTAAATCATATTTGGCAATTTCATGGAAGGTAAAATCCCAGAATTTCGCACGTTTCGTACTGTACTTGGTGTGATTGCGCGAGTAGGTGTTGCCGCGCACATTCGGCATCCATACATCATAGCTGGAGTTGTAGAGGAGATAGGCTGGAATGGATAAAAAGTAGTAGAAGTAGTAGTGAAGTTGTCGATTACTGAATTAAAGGGTAGCAGTTATGGGTGCAATCTCCACCGTGAGGGTACAATTTATAACTGATTTGAGTTAAGCAAATCTTTTAAAGAAGCTTTTAAAAGCCTTCAAAAACTCCAGTTTTTCGATTGCAAAAAAAATTATTAAACAAAAAACCGCTTTATAAAAAATTAATGTAAACTAATGACTAAACAAGCCATTGTCATTAGATGAAGTTTTTAGTGCGTGGGAAAAAATAAAACAATGAAGCACTATTAAGGCGGGGAAATATGCCTCAAACGGCTGAAATAAGCATGAATTAAAAATTTGGATTTTCTTTCGATTTATCTTGTCCCATCTCTTGTCAATGCTTGTCCCATTATATATACTTGTATGCGTACGTATTTGAATCGCGATTAGTTAAGTGGTGGCCTTAAAACCTTAAAATTGTTCCTATTTTTTAGTACTAACTAGCAAATACCCGGCGTGCTTCACTGCGCCCTAATTGTATTTTTGTGCTGTTTGATACACGTTTTGTAATATTTTATTTATTTATCAATTTAATAGAATACAGTTTTTCAAACAGGTGGCAACCCTCCTCAAAAATATTTTCTGCTCTAATTTTTCCTAAATCTCTTCAGTTTGATGCCCATATTGCAATATTCAATTTATCTTATCAATTCAATTAAATTAAAACTTTCAAACTGGTGGCAACCTTCAACAAAGATATTTTCGGCTGTAAGCCTTCTTAAACCTCTTTCTTTTGACAGCCATATTGAAATATTTACTTTATCTTATCAATTTACTTAAAGTGCAATTTTCAAAAAGGCTTGCAACTATGTAATTTTTTTTCTTTGGATATTTCAAGTTAGACCTCTAGCAATACAAAGGAGAAAACTTCATTTAACTCTATGTATTAGTTTTCGAGTGATGCGTGTACAAACATACAGACAGATAGACAGACAGACAGACAAATATGCTAAAAAATTTTAGATTTGGCTTCTATGGCTCTAATAAAGACCCCCCTAATTAATTTTTCTTTAAAATCTATAATGTACAGACATCGGCCTATTACAATTTTATTATATGTATATCCATTGGGAATTAAACGACATAAATTTTACAATGTTCAGAATTAAAAAATCGTTTCCCTGCAAGACCTGAAAAAGCTCGCACCTCGCCGAAAATTGTCAATAAATGTAAATGGAAGCTAAATTGGCTGGAACTTATGTCAAGTTTCGGATAAATGTTCTTTAGGAACCGTAGGGCCGTGTAAAAAATGGAGGCTTAACATCTGAGGACCAACAACAACGACAAAAAGAATTTTGTACGGCATTATCTGTATCCACTAACGATTTCAGAGAAGCTTGCATTTTTCATTGATTTATGAGTAACAATGAACGCGGTGGGGTGTTTGCCTCCTTCTTTAAACGATGGGCTAAGTAGTACAATGATCCTTAAGTCACCAGAGAACTCTTTACCCCTTTAGTCAGAGCAATTTTAGAATATGCGTTCATTATATGGAGCCCTAGATATCAAACTTATTGTGACAGAAGAAGTATTAGGACCAGTTTCTCAATGTCTGGTTAACACTAATTATTGGTTAAACATTGTTAACGAGTCCCCTTTGTGTGTTATGCAGTCGATAACGATGTTTAACCTGCAGTTACGGTTAATCAGTCATTGAGAAACTGGCCCTTAAACCATACAATGACCGCTTGAGCTTATTAGTCTGCCTACGCTTCATAGCCGCAGAGAGCTGCTTGGTGTTTGTTTAGTCCGTCTTTGAGATTAGTTGGTTGACACTAATCTTCGGTTAAACATCGTTGTCGACGTCTTCGACATGTAACAGGGCGTCGCTAACGTGCGCTTGCAGTAAGCGTAATTTCGACATTCAACTAAAATATGTTTTTTTTAGATGATCATTCAAAATGATTTCGAAGACGTAAACGCAAGATTCAGTATTTGGGTTGTTCTACCAGTTTCGACACTTCCCGCGTGGTCACATTCATATCCAAGCTCATTTAATCACTCAATAGCCCTTATGACAGTTTGTCGAGGGGTGTTAAAACACCAAATGTTCTTTCGCTTGGCTTGTTGAAGCCTTAACTTATTTCCCGTATTTGCCACTTGGAACTAAAGCACTAACCCGAGAAGTTGATTGCACTTAAAAATTTATAGCTTTCTTTACGTTAGAGTACATAACAAGATGATGATGTCCATTCATTTTGGTCACCCAGTACATCCTACAATAAATATAATATTTTTACTTAGACACAACTTACCTAATCCCTTATCGGGCCCCATCATCACCCATGTCGCTGACGAATCCAATAATCCATGCATTAGCAACACTGGTGTGGCGTCTTTCCTAACGATGCGATGCAACTCCAAAATGTAACCATCATCTGTGATGGTGTGATGTATTTCAGAGGGAAATCCGTATTTGTTTATTAACTCCGGCTGTTTGAAATTCGTAAAGAGAAACACACTCAATTAATATTCGCAATATACACAATGCAGATGCCACAATTTTCTCATTACCGTTGTCAAATGCGAATCCTCTAACACATTTGGATCTACGCGCGAATGAAAATCCACTGTATTTAATAGATTTTCGGGACCAACACCAACCGATTTCAAAAAGGAACGACCAAGTTCCGGAATATTGAAGAGTGAAGTAGGGCCCAAACTCAATGACCACAGACCCGACTGCGCTGCGATGTGCGGTAGAGAGCAGGCGCTGAACGCAAGGAGAGTAAACACAAGATGCTGCACGCGTGACATGTTGCGGACGGCGCGACGTACAAAAGTAAACTGAACGCGCGCAGCACGAGATCAAGACTCGATCAAGCAAACAAGAAGAGTAGTTATTGTGTTTGAGCTGTGTGTGTGTGTGTGTGTGTGGCTTGTTGTGGTCGTAGTTTATCAGCTTGAAAATTTTGTGCGCGTCCAACAAAAGGGGGCTCGACGCGTTTTACGTTGGTCTGCACTGGGTGCTTGGAGTACGCGCGTGTTATTCAATAGATATCACCGCTAAAAACTGGAAATATTTCCCTTTTGAAACAAACTAAATAAACACCAAAGTGGGCTTCCAGTATTTTTCACTCTTGGGCGATTACGCGTCGAATGCGCTGCTGGCTGGCTAGGCGTTTGGCCCCACAGAGCGTGACACTGACCAATATAGGTATGTAGCACATAATAAATGGTTTCACACAAATGGCGTTGTTGTTGTTTTTGTCGTATTATTTTATTAATATATATACATTGTAAATTCACGCTGCTGATAAACGAAAGTGCTGGCTATTCGAGTTCACTCTTATCAGCGGCTGGCATGACGCACAAAGGCATATAATTTCCGTTCCGATCGTAAATCAGGCGGCTAATGCTCGGTGCGCGGCGGGGTGCGTGTGCGTCCTATTACTTGCGTTTTCAATCTCGACTTGAGCGCAAATAATGCGAAATCAATTGGTAAATATTTTACAACGTTCGTTCTTCGCGGGCGCCAGCTGCAGACTTGTCTTCGAATTAGCGCTTGTTTGTAGCATCTACTCAACCGCGCAGTGGCTTGAGATGAAGATTCGTGCGCACTCTTGCCGCTCAAAGCCACTGAAGCGTATCAAATGTGGCTGGCTGCAACATGTGGCTGGCAACATTTCGCGCGCACACGCCTTTGTTTGGGTGCCAGCGGCAACGATTATCACTTTTTTTTATTATTTCGAATCGGAATTTCGAGCGCTGCTTACTGCGCTGTTTGCGATTATGAAATAATTTTTTAATTTACTTCACCCCAATTCAATTCACCTCATTGCGGTTGGCTTGACGAAGATTCTTAGCAGTTTCACTTTTTAATATAAGTTTTCTTTTTTTCTTCATATACCGGTGCATATTTTAGCGAATTTGGATGCCAGCGGTTGTAGGTACACCTTTGATGAAGTCCGGCGAGCAACTGACTAGGGGTACATCTATGCAAGCTGTTTCTACCGACTCAAGTTCAAGTTTAGCAGCTACATATAAAAAGATTATGCCGACATGCATTATAAAAATTTACATCTACAAACTATGTTTATGCCTTTGTACATACGTACTTATGTATGTATGTATATTATTCTCTCTGCGCTCATAGCTAAGCTTGGGTTTCATAAAAATCGCTGTAGAATTGCACTGCATAAATTTAAATTTATTTACTAACATCGCAAAGCAAATGTTTATGTAAATATCAGAGTAGTTTTAAATTTCGGTCGTTGAGGTTCGAATTTCCTATTCAACAAGTAAAAGCAGTGCTGTCTTCGCCTATGCCGACGGCTTCATACCTTTCATGAGCATCAGAAAATCTGACTTTAACAGATCACTGCATTTAAAGAAGTAGTTGTTTGGGAGCTAAACAAAAGTTTTACACTCACAACATATCGATGGCTGAGTGGAAGATCGACCTATCTCGCCTGCCTGTTCGAAAACGCCCTATCTCAGAAATTTTTTCAAGAACACCATATTTCAAATTTTTTTTTTTAAACACCCTATCCCAGAATTTGGTTGAAGAATGCCCTATCTCAGCTTTCGATTCAAAGGCGCCTTATCTGAGCACATTTTAAATGTATTTTCGTTTGAGGTAGGGCGTTTTTAAACCGATCTTGTGATCATATAAGTATACCCTTTCAGGGGTCCATCTCTTCTTATTCTTATACTTAAAAATATCGGACCAAAGTTATACTACCATTTCAGAACATGAAAGGTATAAAAAGAGCGCAGAGTGAGAAAGTTCTTCCAACAAAAAAATCTCGTAGTAGACTTAAAATTTAGCCTGGGTTAGTTTCGAAGTAGACGGACGTCCATTTACTAAGTATATGGATAGGCAGAAGGGAATGGTAAAGGGAGTGTCGGTTGATTGACCAACGCCGGCTAAGGTTTTGTGGCAGAACAACGCTCCACGCTCACAACAAAGCTTTGAATGCGGGTAATCTCTGCTCGGGTGTGAGAAAGAAGTGAGGCGTAAGGCCGTAAGCCAACGAAAGCTGGGCAGCTGAGTAGCGCTTGTTCAGCTGTTTCCACTTCCACCATCCCCCACAGCCGCAGTAGGGACGTGAATAGATATTGAGCCTTATCGCATGAATTGCGATCAAACAATGACCATTTAAAACTAAACCGGACCTAGAAGGACCTAGCCACTTTGCATATCAAGGTTCTCGCTCAGCGTTCGCTAAGCTGGCGAAAAGTCCATCAGCAGATCGTGGAGGCGAGAGTTCCTCTTACTAGCTCATCGGTAATTCAGTTACCTGCAAAATCGCTATGGCCTGGATTTAATCCGATACAATCGAGAAATACATAAGTCAGACATTCTCGGACCATTTTCTACGCATTATTAAATAGCTGCGAGCTCTCATTTCTGCCTGTCTATTAGAAGATATCGACAGTGCATACATATAGAAAGACGTACGAAAGAGAAAAGGCAGCCGCGATGTGCGAGATGTACTTATGCCGCTATCTGACGGTTTGCTAAACCGACTGGTATTAATTAGTGTATTTCGTTATACCTACTTTTATTTTTGCCTTCTTTCATCGCACGTGTTTCTTCGCAACGTTAACCTTATTTACGTGTAACTTTTTAGATAAACGTTTTCCATGCATCTTTTTCGACAATCCTTTTTAGAGCGCCCATCTTCCTTCGTATGCACCAACGATATGTTGGCCTCCAAAAAATGTATTACATTCGTCAGTAGCCAGTCCGCTACTTACTTTATCGCGGTTATCATTGCTTGGAAACACTGAATGATCCAGGAGTCTAGATTAAAAATTGATGGAGAGTTCCTCACAAAAGACATCCGCAACTACCTTTTCATCCAACTTCGATCCGTCCGTCAATAAGTTTACATGGCCATGGTTCCAGATAGTACTCGCCGACCAGTCTGGAAGGGATGTGGGAGGTGAAAGAGCCGATCGCACCCGAGTCAGCGCAAAGCACACAAACCGTAGTCTGCGACGCACAGTGCCACCAGTATGGTCAAAAAGATCAATATTTACAAATCTAAAAATTTCAAACATTTACTTGCACATTGATAGCTAATAAAAGGCCGTGTCGATATGTACGAGTACATAAATACTGTAGGGGCATATGTCTATGGTTCTTGGAGTATTCGAGAGAAAGATTCTGTGGAAGATTTACGGGCCTTGCGCGTTGGCGACGGAATATGGCCTGAAAATATTCAACGTGATATCCGCTGCTGAGAGCAGGTAGCAATTGCTTAGGCGGTTACAGCGCCAATGAAGAAAGAAGAGGTGTTGGCCAAACAAAGCTATTACTCTGTGATCGTCTCATTCATTCATAAGCGAAACATATGTATCTCGCGTATCTTATGTGAGTAGAAGGCCTCTCTGATCGCCACTGTCAATGACCCAGAAAATGCTCACCTCTTTTCAATAGTTGGTTAGCTTAAAATTAAACCTGATGAAGACACTATAAATATTTTGTGTGTATTGGCTGTTCGAACATGCTATACATAGAGTACATCTATATAAACATCATGGTAATTATACATTTTTTTTTATATCGCCCTAAAAAGATTAGACTTGATATTTTTAATTTAATAAAAACATTTTTTTTTCACACGACAAAAGAATAAAGCGAAATAAGCAAATCGAATGCGATGAATGGTAACATGACTAACGAATGTAAATAATTGATCGTTAACAGTGGAAATATATGCATGTATACGTTATTATCAAATTATATTTGTAAGTGCATGCAATATTAGGGTGGTTCATTTTTCGCGATTAATAAAAATTTTTATTCTCCGGATCGTTTTTGAAAAATAAAGAAGAATCAATAATTTTTAATTTTGCTGCACTTCATAGATGCTTTTTTAAATTCAGGACGGAATACGAATATGGGAGCACCTATAGCAGAACATTTAACACTTAAAAAAATTCGAAATTGTTTTTTTCTTATTGATATTTTATAGCCAAAAGTAGTTAGTTACAAGCTAGTTGACTCCTAATGTAGAGGAAAATAAAGTTGCTTAAAGTTTAAAATCTACAGACCGTATGTTGCCGTGGTCGGATTGTGGAAATACGATCACATTTTGGTCCCTACTGAAGTCGGTTAAGGCGTGTCGCACAGGGGTCAATGTTCAGATTACCCTATGACGACGCCTTAGCCGACTTCAATCGGGACTGAAATTTATATGTGATATCCTCGACATTAGTAATATCGATTTTGGGCATTAAATGAAAGAATATTTTTAATTTTTTGAGCCTCCATGAAGCATCTGGCCTTGGACCCCATTGCGACACGCCTTAATCGACTCCAATCGGGGTCAAAATTTATATGCGATATCTTCGATTATTATAGTATCGATTTTGAGTATTCAATCAAGAAACATTAATTTAAATTTTTTGATTCTCCATAGAGAATCGCCCTCTGTGCGACACGCCATAAACGTATCCGATGGGGACCAGAATTTATATGTGATATCTATGACCGATTGAAGGGGTGAGACTGAAAAAAATCGTTCATTTGATTTTTAAGGACCACCCTAATGCACACATACTCTTATAAGTCAGCAATTTAGTAATATGACTAATTTATTGAAAACAAAAAAATGCAGACTGCTTGGCCTTTCAGCCCTCCACTACTAGTTATGTGTATGTATGTATGTATGTAGCTCAGATATGAAGATTGCATTTAAGTAGTTCGCTGCGCAAGTAAATATGTTTGATCAAGTATCATGTATGTTTGTATTTAACCCTCCGATGAGTGACAGTGCCGATGACGTTAGATTCGTGAGAAGGTCCTTAGGGACCTACAAAGAGTTGCTCGATGTTTCGACTGTACATGTGCAACTTCTTTGGTATTTATATTGTCTTTTGATTAAATTAACGTCCTGCATATATATTAGGAATGAAATAATTTGAAGAACAAGTGAAAAAAAAAATCAAAACATGAAGACAAGTAACTTGTTATTTCTTCTAAAA